CCCGGCGCCGGTGGGGGCCCTCGCTCTCCATGGGGCTGAGGGACTGGCTGAGAACCGTGTGCTGCTGCTGCCCGTGCAAGTGCCTGGAGGAGCCTGCCCTGCCCGAGAAGGAGCCCCTGGTCAGGTGGGTGCGCCGCCCTGGCCCCGATCTGGGGTTACCTGGCCGCAGGAGGCGGCGTGTGGAGACTTGTGTGCTTTTCTGAGGTGGGGAAGTGGCCTGGCTGTAAGGTCCCATTGAGGCTCAGATTCAGCCCCTTGATCCCTTACAGGATATTGTGGGTTTGTTCCTTGGGTAAGACTTTTGCCCGAAAGGACATATCCTCGGGGCCACCTGACACCCAGGGGGATGCCTGTGGAAGGGGCCAAGAATTCGGGTGCAGTGCCTGGGAAGGAAAGTAGTAGAGAGAAGTTTCCGTAGGGATCTGATAAAATACAACTGTCTGGGTATTTGATAGGCATATTACAGTGAAATAGGCAACTGAGGATTTCTATGTCAGGCAAGTAAAAAAGTTGGATACTTCGTCATTAAATTTTATTATCACAAGAAGACAATTTTAGTGGCTGAGCACAAGGAAATATTTTTCACATGAAAAAAAATGCATATTTTATCAAGGGACAGCCTATTCACTAGGATGTGGATTCAGTATAGGTTAAGCTATGAAGTGTGAGGAAATTCAGTGCTCATTAGCAATATGCTAAGAGGCTTTGTGAAGAGACCATAAAACACAGTTTTGTAGGGCTGTGATTTTAAGCAATGATTTTATATTTTGAGCTTGCTGAAATTAAGGTTCCACTAGGTCATGCCTCAGGGGTAGATGTGACAGAAATAGAATATTTAAGATGAAATTAGGAAAAAGTATGTAAGGTGGAATTCCAGGGTTGGGTAAGCAAGTACTAAAGACATGGTTTCTATCTTATGAAGTATGCAACTAATATCATAAAGCTTTCACAACTTTTTCCAAAGCATGATTTACTTTTTCTTACTCTGTCAAGTTCAAAGACTTCCCTTGACTTTGGAGATCTTACATAACCCCTTTTTGCCTGTCCACTCTTATTTTCCAGTACATTAAACACTGTATACTACTTGCTGCTGGAGGAACAATCCACTCTTAGCTTGCCTCAAGTGCTGACCTTTATCCTTGCTGCCCCTCCTAAATGCTGTTTTTCAAGGACTCTTCAAGCAGTCTTTTTTGATTACTTTGCCCTTATTCATCTTTGTCTGCTATGATTTAAGACTTAGAATTTACCATCTGCTTCTCACTGCTTAGTGAGCACACATGTAGATGAACATGTCTGTCATGTTTATTATATATAAAAAACAGTCATATGCACAATTGTTTTTGATTGCTCTTGCTGATGGTACTCTACTTAGATTTTTAGATTATTGTTGGCAGGGAGAAACTCAGGAACCTACCCCTAGTCTAGAAGGCAGTAGGTACCAATCTAGAATGTCATGCTTGAGTGCTTTAGTAACATGAAATACAGCCTTTGGCTTAGTTTCATCCTCAGAGCCCTGGGTATTTCCAATTTTCTGTCCAGGACTGCTATTTCAGTAAATAGTTTTGGTTGTTTTAAAATCTAGACCATCTCCTGCCTTGGCTTATATCCAGTGAATTTTGCAAGTGATTTTAGGACAGGGTCAATAGCACAGTGCTTATGAATCAGATTGCCCAGGATGAGTCAACTCATCCAACCCTGTGACCTGGCACAAGTTATTAAAATTATTTGTGCCTCAATTTCCTCATCTGTAAAATGGGGATGGTAATAGTATGTACTTCAAAGGGTTGCAGTGAGAGATGAAAGGAGATAATACATGAAGAGTGCTTAGTATAGTGTCTGATACATAGCAACCACTCAATAAATTTTAGTTATTATTAATTATCATTGTTATTCTTCTGAGCATGTGAATATGAGTGGACTGGTTTCATGTGGTTTAGTGTCATTCTGGCACCGTTTCAATATATAATTTGGGAAGAGCAGGTTTTTAATGGACACGTGGAACAGTGGTATGGTGTATATGGGTACCTGCGTGTTCTTTCCTACCCAAGTCATCTGAAGGTCAGGTTTGAAATCTTTATTTTTTATTTTTTTATTTTTTAAAAGATGACCGGTAAGGGGATCTTAACCCTTGACTTGGTGTTGTCAGCACCACGCTCACCCAGTGAGGAAACCAGCCATCTCTATATGGGATCCGAAACCGTGGCCTTGGTGTTATCAGCACCACACTCTCCCAAGTGAGCCACAGGCCGGCCCTGAAATCTTTATTTTTTATTTTTTTATTTTTTAAAAGATGACCGGTAAGGGGATCTTAACCCTTGACTTGGTGTTGTCAGCACCACGCTCACCCAGTGAGGAAACCAGCCATCTCTATATGGGATCCGAAACCGTGGCCTTGGTGTTATCAGCACCACACTCTCCCAAGTGAGCCACAGGCCGGCCCTGAAATCTTTATTTTTTTCAGTTGTTTTTAGTATATTCACAAAGTTGTGCAACCATCACCACTATCTAACTCCAGCACATTTTCTTTACCCAAAAGAGGAACATCATACCCATTCATTAGCAATCACTCTTCCCACTCCCCCTAACTCTCACCCAGGCAACCACTAATCTATTTTCTGGCTTTATAGATTTGCTTATTTTTGATATTTTGTGTAAATAGATTCATATAATATGTGGTCTTTTGAGTCTGGCTTCTTTCACGTAGCATAATGGTTTCAAGGTTCATTGTGTTGTAGCGTGTACATATCATCACTTCATTCCTTTTTATGGCTGGATAATATTCCATTGTATGGATATACCACATTATGTTCATCCATTCAGCTGATTGACATTTGGGTTGTTTCCACTTTTTGGCTATTATGAATAGTGCTGCTATATGATCATTCATGTACAGGTTTCTTTGTAGACATATGCTTTAATTCTTTTGGGTAATTACCTAGGAGTGGAATTATTAGATCACATGGTAACTGCATAATTAGGCTTTTGAGGAACTGCCTTGTTTCCCAAAGTGACTGGTTTGAAATCCTTTTTTTTTTTTTTTTTGGCAGCTGAACCCTTGACCTTGGTGTTACAACACTGCGCTCTAACCAACTGAGCTAATCGGCCGGCCCTGGTTTGAAATCTTGATGTGGTGAAATCATGTAGTCAGGTGGTCTGAATTTATTATTGTATTGAGACTTTATTCTTCATGTTATTTTTTTCCATCTCTAAAAAAACATTTTGTTCAGACATCTTCTGATCAAATCTTTATAGTCTAAAACAATGGTTTTCAAGTTTTATTTTACTCCCCGAGGCCACAGTGCATGTAAGAGGTGCAGTCAGGGAAGACGACATTTGCCATCTATGTGCACAATCACTTACAGTCCTTTTCCAGAATGCACCAGGGGCTCTTGTTAGTTCGGGAAAAACAATTCTTGGTCTCAGCTGGCATGCCAGTCTAACAATGCCACTTACCTTTTTGACCTTGCTTCTTTTGCTTTTTCTGGAACCTTGTACCTAAGAGGGAATGCTGGTGCCTTCTCCGATTTGCATTTGTATTTCTCTCTGTCCCTTTGGCTTTTTTTTTTTCTTTCCTCTTTCTCTAGAAATATGCTGAGACCTCCCTTGACTGAAAATTCATCTTGATGTTGTCATCTGCTGTCTTTTGTGTCGGGCGCAACACCGAGGGTTGCGATCCCATTGCTGGTCAGTAAAAAAAGACAAAAAAGGAAAAAAAAAAAGGATTCCCATATCGGTCATCCACAAAAAAAAAGAAAGAAAAGAGAGTTACAGGAGAAATAAATTGGGTGTTCATTTCTCAGTGGACATGGAATACCTCCATGCTGACCATTCATCTCTTCTCTCACATTTTCCCCTCCCCTGGCTTCTCTGATTTTGCATTCTTTAGCCTTTTTGCTTGTGATCAGCCTAATCTAGCTAGTTTCCCACCTAGTGACTTTTCCAATGCTCAGTTTTTAAGGCTCACTTCAATTGCCACTTTTCTGATGAAACCTTAGAAATTTTCCACAAAAAGTTATGGTGTCTCTTTTCTTTCTTTTTACCCCTCAGGTTACTTATTGCATTCTGCCTGGTATTATAGTTACAAGGTGGGTGTGTAACCCCAGTGAAACTGGAGGGGGCTGAATTGTACTCACCTTAGCATCCCCTGTAGTGACCAGCACAGTGCCTGACACGGACTAGCATCTGAATAAATAACTTTTTGATTAATAATAATTATAATAATAACACTTAATGTATTAATTGCTTTCTATGTGTACATTTTTTTAAAGAAGTATTTTAAACAAAACCTGATGAAGAATAATAGAGCAAACACTTGTATACTCAGCTCCCACCTTAAGAGAGAAAACATTAACAATAGTGTTGATATTCTATCAACTCCATAGCTTCCTTCCCCTTCCACCTCCAAAGGTGACCTCTAAACTGAATCTGTGTTTAGCATTCTTAAACTTTATGTACATGATGCATACTGCATGTAGGCTCTTGCATAAGTGAGATTTCTTAACGTAATTCTGTCGTTTAATCATCACTATGACCAAATGAGATGAGTGTTCATTATCTCCATTTATTAATGAGAAACTCCAGGCTTAGAGGATCCTTCCATCTAAATGTGGAAGCAGCCTGTCCCTGTGAACCAAGCCCCAGTAGGAGTTAGGAGACCAGGGACTTCGTTCCAACTATTAGCCTGCTGTGGGATTTGGGGGAAGTTTCTTAACTTCCTTGGACCTTAGTTTCTTCTTCTGTAAAATGGGGAGATCTGACTTTGGTGGTGATCTGGAAGGGCCGTTCCAGGCTTGATGGTCCTCTTTCTGTGTTAGCTGACATTCCGTTTGACCCAACGTGAAATACGGGAGCCGTTAGGCTGTCTGTAATACTGCGAAGGAGCCTGAAGGCCCAGCAGATGTGAGTCCTGACCATTTGTCCAAGTCTTGATGCCCAGAGTTGCATCACCAGCAAGTAGCGGAGTAAGCAGTTTTTACTCAAGGAAGTTTAAGAACAAGTCTGGGCCTGGAGAAGGGACACCTGCCTGATCCTGTCCCAGGCTTCTACCTAAAGAAAGCCAAAGGTTTTGTTCAGTCTTTGAATCATACACTCACTGTTTTCTCACCTTCACCCCAATTTTAGGGC